AGAAAAATTATTTCGATGTTGATTACAGAAAATGTTTGGTGATGAGCTTTGGTGCCATGAAGGTTGCTCTATTGTGACATGGGTGTCAAAGGGTCAGGTCATGGAGACCACCACTTCATCAATATGGGTAAGATTGTCTGTTTGAGCTTTGGAAACCACACACTGGCGAAAGACTTGCACTGCACTGGACCATCCTCCTTTTTTATCTATTAATCTATTAAGTATTAACCATGCTCACTGGTCATCATTGTTGCTAATGCTTTCTATTAATAATTCTAAATATTATGATTTTTGCATACCTCCTGTATACGGTTCAGATCACGGATGTTATCTAATGTATCCAAGGATGGGGACAGACCACCATGCAAACAGAATATCTACAACAGTAAACAAAGTCCACTTGTTAAGAAACTTAAAAATGGCTAAATTGGATATATAAATGTTAAGTAAACAAGAGAACAAGCCAAACCTGACTCTCAATGAGTGCTGTAAGAGGCAGATAATCAAATAGATCAGTAAAATACTTCCACACATTTGCATTCCCGTACTTTCTCAAGCATTCATCATAAAAACCATACCTGAAACCAAAATTCCATGACACATGAACATGTAATAGTTGTTTAGATTCCATGGAAGACCAAGGAATTCATCCAATTAGAAACTATTACGATGAGTGAACTCCCATTATATGCAGAGTAGAAGGTTCACTTCTTTTTTAATTTGCATCAGATGTTTATATTTACTGACATACAATAGAAGGATTTGATACAAGAGGTTTTCAAAGGCATAAAAAGCACAAGCACAAACAATGTGTTTTACATGTCTGTACTTGAGAAATCGAGGTTTTATCTTTTTATAAACAATGCTGTTTATATGCTGTTTATATGACTAACACCTTAGTACATATTTTCAGCAAAGTTTACTCCTCAACACTCGGTTGAGCCATCGTTTGCTGACTTGTGGCTGTCATTTTTTCTTTCAAAGTCCTTGTTTTCTCTCTCACTAAGTATTTGTTGAATTGCTTGTTTGTTGTGCCTTTCCATGAGACTTTGAGACTTGTTTTATGAAATCTATAACAAATACGAAATTACTCTTTTGCATGTCCTTTTATGAAATCTAATCAACTTTCTCTTTTGCAGGTCCTTCGAGACCAGTACGAAATTACTTCTAACCTAACCCTTTGTGAACAAATATTGCAAGGATGTCTCGTAGCTTAGATAATTCCAGCTAAGTCCATGACATTATGTCAAATTAAATAAAGATTTTCAAATCTTTTGTAATTACATGCACATTCGGTGATTCGGTGACCTCCAACTTCCCATTTACAAGGATGTGACTTTCTTATGGTTTTTACTTATGAACAACTATAATTTACTGTATTCCATATAGCAAGGTAACAAACTCCAAAGATTATCAAGGATACTTTGAAGAATTAAAGTTAGCTGCAGTAATAGAAGACAAAAGGAGGAGAGGAGTACTAGAGAAAAGTATGACAAGTTATATGCAACAAGAAATTTTCAGTGTATCTATGAGACATATATGTATAACTTAAATTTACATCAACCAGCTAACTCCGGTAGTCATATAAAACAATTATCCATGATATCCACTTAAAGTAGGATTTTTATTAAAATTAAAATAAGGAAAGAAATTCACTGCCTGACTCTCGTTCCAAGACCTGTACCAACTGCTTTCAGATCAAGAATTTAAATTCAATTAAAACTCTGCATTGATAGTATCTAAATTGCTAATTAATAAATAACAAAGAAAAGATAGTATCCTCTCTATTTGGGATAAACTACATGGATATTTTGCCATCATTGAGCTCTATAATATCCCTTGTTAAACTTATAGAAATCAGATCTCATCTGTAAAAGAGGAAATAGACACTTACACTTGAGTTATTTGCCGGCTCTCGTGATTGCCCCTAAGGATTGTAATTCTATCTCTGTAACGAACTTTCAAGGCCACTAAAAGTGTGACTGTTTCAACAGAGTAATAACCACGATCTGCATTAAACATAGTAGTTGACATAAAGAGAAGATACTTGGAATATCTAATGACAGCTCATAAGGAATACAGCAAGTGCAATCCCAGCATTGCAATTTTAACATATGGGAAAATACATATGTGAGTGACAGTATGTGAGGAAAAATATGAACGATGTAAGTGACAGTATAGAAACTTACATTACATTTTATCATAAAAAAATAGTTTATTGCATGGAGAAACAGAACATAAATATACATAAGTCTAGGAAGCTAGTATATAACGTTATAATATTTCAAATGGGATATAAGAAAATCACAGGAGTTCTCTATAAAACAGAAAAGGATCCAAATGCATTTGCACATTACTAATGTTCACAATTCATTATCTGTAACATCAGGCACACAAAAAAATTTAAAATTTGGACCCAAGCATCCGTTCAATTTTTCAACAGTCATGTTTTCCATATCCATGGATTATTTCGGGCCTTTGGCAGGGTGCTTGTGGTTGATTGCAATCTTTGTTCCGAATAAGGATCTCTTTGTTCTCGATTTTTACTAACACTTGTAACAATTATTGTTCAGAATATGCTATTCACCATTTGCCTATGATATTGCCCGAGATAGTATAATATCACACATCGGACCAACATTGAATATCATACATTATCTAAGACAGGAGATCTGTTCACCTTTCGCCTTTGGTGTTGCCAAATATGATGTTTTTGGCATCCTTGTGGAAAGTTCGGCTAAACAGAAGATGAAAATTATAATACTTCCGATGAAGCATGTTAGATATCAAGCGATGTGCCTCTGTCCTCTATAATTGTTTCAGTATGACATTCTGACCAACTAAGTGCATGCAATCACAATAAAAAAGAAAAAAAAGGCCAGCATACAAGAACTAATAGAGTTCTCACTCAACAAGCTACAATTTGCTCCACACGATTTCAATCCTCATGTTGCAGAACCAGAACACGAGGTTGTATTACTTGCATATCAAATAATCATCTAACCGTAAGCAGAAGAGTACTAAAAACTAAAGAAAAAGTGAACTGACTGAACATAGAAGTAATCAGCATTCACTAAGCAAGTAAAATCAAAATTAGATAACAATAATACACCCATCAGGTAACACCAATGAAACAAAATATCCCTTCTTCTGACCTACGTAGTCCCCCATAAAGAGGTAATTGGTGTCGGGCGCCTCTCCTCCGATCCGGAAGAGTTCGACGAGATCATAGAACTGCCCGTGGATGTCGCCGCAGACGGTGACGGGACACCTCACTGGCTGGACGTTCCACTCCTCAACCAGGATTGCCCGGGCTTGGTCGCAGAGGACCTTCACTTCCGCCTCCGGCAAGAACTTGCATTCCCTAAGCTGCTCGATCTGGCGGTCCAGATCCGCGTAGGACGGCATCTTCCACCCCGGACCTCGAACCCGTCCGATCTGCGTGCGATGGAAGCCGATCTGGGCGGCCGAAGTTCGGAGGACGGCGAAGCGTCGAGACGTACACCACCGGGGAGGAGGGGATTAAGCGGATCGAAGCTTCAAGGGAAAGAGATTCAAGATAAGGGAGAAGGGGAGAGGAGGAAGGGGCGGTGAAGAGAGAGAGAGAGCGAGAGGGGGTTGATCCGTAGTCGCCTTGGTGTGTGCATTTCTCGCAGTCTCCGTTCTCTTCTTTTGCTTTCTTATTTTTAATTGGTTCCCGATGCCGAGCGGAGACTGGGTCGTGGGAGATGAGATGAGATGAGATGCGAGGGGGAGGATGCTCCATTCCACGACTTGAGTTACACGTCGAGGCACGAAAGCGGGTTGTAGCCGTGAATCCGGGCATGCCAAGACGCCTTTCGTGACGGAGAAATCGTGGTGGCAGTTGTGTCGACAAAATTGATGCGTCCCACATACTGCAGGCGCATGCACCCGAAACGAGATGATGATCGGGAAACGATGCAGCTATGAGAAACTCGCATAAGTATTCTTCTCTTTTTTCTTTATTTTTTATTTTAAGAAAATGGCGGCCACGAAAGGGTGCGCCACTGAAATGATCTTTTGACCATATCTTTCTTTAAGAATATTTTTATTTTTCGTTTTTCTTTTTCTCAAATGGTGTATTTATTTTAAACAATACCGAAAATAATCTTACTATCCCCATTGATATTTTTCTTTTCGCCAGATTTAGAGATATCTTAGCGTAGATCATTCGAATAATTTTATTTGACTCATTTATAATATTTTTAATAATATTAAAATATTATTTATTGAGATATTAAAAATATTATAATTATGATATTATATTTTTTTTAAAAAAATATATGATTAATTTTAATTAAGATTAAAATTTTATTTAAATTATTTATAATATTTTTAAGTAAATATTACGTGATCAAGATATTATAATAGATTAATTTTTTATTTCTATTTAAGTGATATGATTTCTAAATCAAATAATTTCTACTGTATTTTGATTTTATTTGGTTCTCTTATTGTATTGTTTAATACTATTATAATATATTTGTTTAGGTATTGAAAATAATAAAAATTATTATAAGTGATATGATATTTTTATTTTTGATTGTCATTGCTCTTACACCATTATAATAATAAATTTTCAGATTTAAAGTTGATTTGACCAAATTAGTTTTATAGTATTCTAATTATAATTATCAAAATATTATACTAAATTATTTTTTTTTACTTTATTAATTTGATGAGAGATATTTTATATTATTCAAAACAGGAATATCATTTTAAAAAACAGAAAACAGATGACATTGGGACTTTTCCAAAAATATGAAATATATTGTTAAGAGAAAAATAGAAAGATATTTTTTTTCAAAAAAAAAAGCTAAGAGTTTTCCAAATATACAAAATTATGTATGCCAAATATCTTATTAATTCGATGCAAAGTGAAAAAACAGCATCCAAAAAATTGCAATAAAAAAGACAAGACAATATATATATATATATATATATATATATATATATATATATATCACAATAAACCCGCGTTAGCATCGACAAAAGGGAACCACAGGAGACACGTAACAAGCACAAGCAGAGAAACAGTCGACCGGCGGCAGGCGCATTAAGACAGCATCACGCAACTTTGACCTCGATGGTCTTCGTCTTCTTCGGCTCAGGCGGCGGCAACTTCTCGACGGTGATGGTGAGCACCCCGTCCTTGTACGTGGCGCTGACAACGTCGGCATTGGCGTTGTCCGGCAGCGAGAACCTGCGCATGAACTTGCCCATCCGCCGCTCCATCCTCAGGTACTTCACCTCCTCCTCCTCCTCCTCCTCCTTCCGGCGCCTCTCTCCGCTGACGACGAGCATGCAGTCGTCCTCCACCTGGACCTTGATCTCGTTGGGCTTGAGCTCAGGCATGTCCACGACAAAGACGTAGACGCCTGGGAGCTCCTTCACGTCGGCGGGCGTCGCCGCCATGGCCCTGGCGTCGCGGACGTAGGTCCGAGTAGGGGCGTTGAGTGCCTTCTCCACCTCGCCCGGGAGGTCCACTAGGTGGTGTAGCGTCGACATCAGAGGGCCGTCGAGCCCCATCAGCCTCGCGTCCATCGCTCGTCGCCGAGCCAGGAATCACCAAAGCATTAATTCAAGGCTTCCGATGAGAGGATCGGTCCATTCTCTCTCTCTCTCTCTCTCTCTCTCTCTCTCTCATCTCTCTCTCTCTCTCTCTCTCTCTCTATATATATATATATATATATATAGAGAGAGAGAGAGAGAGAGAGAGAGAGAGAGAGAGAGAGAAAGAATCGGGCTAGAGTCATTCAAGGCTCCAGAGAAGGTGAGTACCGGCACCATTCTGGAAAAGGGAAGAAAGCCTGGACGCGACGGAGAGGGAGTAAGTCATCTGTTGGGGCCCGTCGGTAGGTGCGCTGTACGTGGACGTACGGACGACGACATCTCAGGTCTGATGGGTTGCTGATAACCAGAAACGTCAGTGGTCGTATGTGGTTACAGCTCACAGACTTTGATGGACAAGACTATTTTACACCGGATGGATTCTCGTCGACGGAGTAGAAGACAGAAGACAGATTGTCGAGTTGTCACGGTGTGTGAAACATAATTTGTAATAATGCACGTGGATTGACTTTGGAAGATGAGATGCGCGGTGTCATCCTTGTTTTTGACATCCATTTTCTGAAATAAAAATAATAATAATCTTGGTGGATAGCTTTTTCCTACGCTTCGAGGAGGTCTCAAAACTCTTTAGTGCCAACTTTAGATTGTTATCATCAGTATAACCTGGCTGTTATAATCTTCCATGGCATCAACACCTCTGATTTGCTGCTGCCACCAGGCATCCATGTATCGTCATATTAGCTACTTCCAACCACAAAACACTGTGACAAAGATGCATAGATTTGTATTAATCGTAGACTGCCAACACCACCAAGTCTGTGTTGCTACATCTTTTCTATTCACGATTCCTAGATCAGCAAATTACGCTAAATTTTGTATAATAACTTCTTCTCAGTATCAGCGACTTGAGTTTGCATGCAATGTGCCTCCTTCCAACTTTGCGTGGGAGCGACCTCTCTTTCCATGGATTCGTGACAAGCATCTCTGCCTGGTTTTACTCAGCGAGAAAAGCTGCGTGGATGAGGTCTTCCGATCGTTGGATGCGGTGTGGGTATCGCAGGCAAGGGGGCGCGATGGTTATGGATGCCTTCGTATGTCGTTATCACGAACCTCGAGTCTTCGCTTTCTCTCTCGACTCTCTTCTTGACATTGCATCCTTCGCTCGAACAGTGGTAATAGTTCCTGTCATGATTTCATTTGCTTGCCTTTCTTAGTTTGCTGCAGAACCTGAACATCCCAAATGTTTTTGTCTTGTGTTTGTGTGCCAGAAAGAGTGGTGGCAAATCTGAGTGCAGGATAAGAAAATAGCAGTCATTCATTGGCCATTTTGGATGAGGCGAGGTTTTTGTTTCTTTAGTTCAAGACAACGGGGTGTTCATAGGTACTTGCATCCCCACACTTTGGCTTCAGATGCTAACGTGCATGAGGCCTTTCTTGCAGTTGCAGTCCCTACATGCATCGATCGGCACCCCAAAAAAGAAACTTCAAATTCTAGATGGAGCTAATCTAATTACCTTGGATTCTGGCTGTTCTTCATCATCTTCTTTCCGTACTTTCTCCAGCTATATCCATCATCCAATTTCTCAATCTCCGATTTCGTTCTGAATGCAACTCTGGTACGCATACTGCTGCTCCTCCCCGTCACCGAGCCCTTCGCCTTATTCCCATTTCTGCACACCAGCAGAGGGACGCACACACGTACGGTAAGGATGAATCGTGATACCGAAGAGCAAAAGCTCAGGTCACCTCGGTACTTACTTGTGATCGAGGGGCTTGTTTTGGTTGACATCATCGTCATTTGCCTCCGCAATCTGATGCTCAAGAGGAGACAGCATGACATATTCTTCCTGTTGATCTCCAAAAAGAAACAGATTGTCGTCGATCTCCGACAACATGTTGATCTGCAACGAGACGTAGGAAAGCAGTCGCGAGAAATCAATCTCGACTGACGCCGAGCCCCTCAACCGGAGCAATCCTATTTATAATACTGCAGCCACCCGCAACCTGTCCGACGAACACCCTCGAGAGATATTCCTAGCTGACTAGCCAGCAGAAGAAGTGAAAACCAGTCGACCACGGAAGCGCTCTGTCTTTGCATGATACTTATCACCCCTCCTTCCCTTTCGTCCTCATGTGAACGAAGAGATTGTAAGTCAACCAACGTGGTCTATAGACTGTTGAGGTCTGTATGTTAAGCAAAGTTACTGCTCGCCGGTGGCCGCTATGCGCGCGCAGTAGTCTATCACTGATGTGTGAACTCCTTAACGATGAATTCAACGCGCGTGTATTCTCTCTCCTTGCGCTTCCTCGTAGATTCGCTGAAGGAACGAACACAAACACCCTTTCAGAGGGTTCAATAGTTGCATCGAAGCCACCGCAACGAATGCCTATCAACAAAACATGCGAGTAAAAGTCAACAACCCACTGACAAAAAAGAACCACACCATCTTGTCTAACGTTTTCCAACCTTCTTGGAAGTGGGCATGCAATTAATGATAACCAACCGGCAGAGACAAATGTATAATCTATCAAGTGGCCGTCCATTTACTTGCAACTAAGAGCGAGAAAATGGCAAATCATCATCCGCCAGCTTCGGAGAATCAGAATCGATGCTAATATTCTCCCTGCCTGCACTTCATTTGCTGGCAGCAACAAAGGACACTGTCGTGAACGAAGTGAGTAGACACCCAAATTTCCCCCTGCTGTTTGGCACTGTGGACACAGTCGTGGGTATATTGTTCCGCTAAGACTCCGGCATTGGGTTCTCTCGAACAGAGTTACTCCGGTGAAGAGCACACATACACATACAGAGTAACTTGCTACATGGTCGAGTTTTGGAAGACAAAACTTCCAGATAACTGGCAAAATATTGTGGTAAGCACAGAGTCCAAATGGGTTCATCAACAGAGAGGCGAGGTCACATCTTTACAAAGCTTGAAGCCCAAGTCACCACGACTTGTGAACATCCAAGAGATATTATGATTCACAATGAAGCAGAAGAAACCATCGTCAGTTGACAATGAAGACGATGAAATTAATGCACGAACCAACTCGATCATTACAGCTGCTGCAGACTCCGTTCCTCGCGACACCTGTGTCTTGAAACATTGATTTGTCTCCCTCATATTTCAGATCACAGCTGGAAGCTTACCAAAATTTTCTGGGTTCAGGTATGTCTCGGAAATTATCAGGAAGCTGCGCAAGGTCAAAGGACAATGTGATAGTCCCTAAAAATCCTGCTCCTCCATGAATGACAGAGCAAGAAGAACAAACACATTTAACGCGTTTTATTTAATTGTAGCTAATCGTCTTTCATCGCAACTTTTTTTCTTGGTTTCTTCCAGAAATAGAACGTCCATTCTTATCGAGTGCAGCATGACCAAATCTCATAAAGTAAATCTTTGCCTTCCGTTATCCTCTTATACTCAAACATCAATAAGCAGCATCGTCCTCTGTTGTTCAATCAGTGGTTTTCCATTTCCAGTCTCTCCATATCACTCGAGTTCCGAAACTACACTTCGGGCCAGCAATTCTCACTCGACTGTAATGGTTTTATTGTCACAATAAGGTTCTATTGAGATTATTTAGCATTTGAAGTTTTCTAGAATCGTTATCTCAATGAGATACTAAATAGAAGAATTTTTTATAAAAAAATAATAATTAGGATCTGATTTTTTTTTATAAATATCTCATTTATTTTTAAATTTTTATAAGGGATGCTTTAAAGATGATACTCTTTATTATTTCTAAAAAAATAAGAATATATATATATATTTTTTAGAATTTATGTGAGAGAGTCTATCAGAAGAATTCATGTAACTTGAGGCCTTAATTTAATTTGCTCTATGAATTGATGTCACATAGTGAAAATTTTAATTGACTCCATCAATTTAGGTGGGATTTACTGAATCATGTTAAATCTTATATCGATTTTTTGATATATTTTTTAATTTATTGATCTCTGGATATTCTTTTGATTTTGATTTTAATTTATTGATCTCTGGATAAGATTGGAGTCCAGCGTATTGTAGCTTCATAAAACCAGATTTCTATCCGAGTTTGAGAACAGAGTCTTCAGAATAATAGGATCTACAGCCCAATATTTTATGAATATGTTTGACAACCAAATCTCGATAACTCATATTTTGTAGCAGGTTTTGGTTCTCAGCTACAGAGAGCCTTCGTAATGCTTCGACTTCGATGGTTACCATCTTTTTCTCTCGAATAGTTGTGACGCAAAAGCTTAGCCTCACAACAGTACGTTGCGATAGCAGATAAGATTTTCTTTTAGATTTTTTTAATGACTTAAGTTGTGATGATTGGTCCGCGTAACTTATCATCATATTTTAAATACATCTCAAAATCAGTCAATTTATCATAGAATTTTTCGAATGATATAGGTGAGTCGCATGCCCGAATTGCTAATGTCAATTTCTTGTACTTGTCTCCTCGACCATTCGGAATATGAACTAGGACTTCTTCATCACCGAGCGCATGACCTATCAAAATCAAGTCATCAATGATAACTTTGATATGTTGTAGATAATCAGCAATAGTACTTCCCTCTTGTTTTGTTTTTGGATAGAAGGCCGAGCTTGCGAGTGCGTGAGTGATTCGCCAAAATGATTTGTAACTTATGTCAGGCTTCTGCAGCAGTCGTACACGAAGATATCAATGGGGCGACGGACTTAGTGACGGAGGCTTGAATAGCTTGGATGATGAGATGATCTTGACGTAGCCATAATTTGTGGGCTAGATTTACTATCGGACTAAGGTCTCCTAAGATGTTGATCATTGATGGTGGACAACTAAGAAAGTCATCGATGTAGCCTAGTAAATCATATCCAAATAAGAGATTAGAAAATTGTGCACGCCAAGATGTATAGTTGTCGTCTTTGGATACCTTGAAGGGAATGAGTGTTGTAGCATTGATGGTGACAAGACCTGTATGTTGAGAAGTGTTGTGATGTCCTATGGAAACAATGACCGGAGCATCATAAGTAGAGTCGTAGATGGCTGCAACGAGGTGCAGTGAACCGTGCTCTTTCTTGAGCACAGATGCTGCAGCGATCAAGGAGGAACTTAATCATCTGCTATCAAGTTGCGAAAATCTTATCTGCTATCACGTTGTTGTTGGGTAGAGCTTAATCATCTTTAAGTCAATGGTTTGGATAGTAAACTAGTACCGAGTACTGGGAACCAAAACCTGCAATGAATCTCCCGTGCGTGCTTGTGGTCTGAGATTACTTGCGCCGGTGAAGTGCTCTATTTAGAAATAGGAGAGCATCTTATGATCACCACAGTTTGCAGTTTGAATTTGCTCCTCCAACTCGATAATGATCATGAGGTCCATTGTTTAGATCAATAGGTCTGCCAAACCTTCCCCTTTTCCACCTACCCTTCTCATTTGCAATGCCAGGGGGTACCCAGTGATTTCTCAGAGCTGCTACTTGTATTTTCTCGACGAACGTCGATGATCCACAAGAAGTTGAAACAGCCAGCAGCCATTTGTGTCTAGTTGACTTGAAATTGTAGCCAAAGGTTCTCTGTCAATGCATGAGAAGTTGGAACTGCTGTAACTCTCAGCAAAGGAGAGAAATTTACGAGAAGATTAAAACCAAGCAGCAGCAACAAAGCAGCTAATAAAGCATTTAACAGCTCAATTTCGATAGTAGTGGTGGCGGCAGCAGATGCCGCTGAGAGATGGCGAAGCTTATCTTTAGATGAGATCGTCACCGAAGAGGCTGCCGATCATCATGATCTCCTCTTCTTGTTGCTGCTGCTGCCTCTGCCGCTGCTTTTCTCGGATCGAGTTCAGCTTCTCGAGGTTCAGACGCGCGCGGAATCGAGCAATGAAGAGCTCTGACTTGTTGTCAACGTCGGGGCTGGGGCAGAACACCGCCACCCCCTCTTCCGTTCCGTTCTCCCCCGTGTTTGCGGCAGTTCCCCCGAATCTTTCACTGTCAGTGTTCCCCGCCTCCTCATCGTCGGAGAACAGCTCTTGCGAACTGGATGCTGGCGGCGGTGGCGGTGGAGGCGGTGGAAGTAGGGGAGACGACGGAGGTAGTGGGAAGTCGGAAAGATTGAGCTTTTCTTTCCTCTTGTCGAGCTTACCCTGTGGTGGAGCCGGAGGGGGTGGCGCTTGCCTCTTATATTGGCGGGTTGGCGGAGGAGGTGGTGGTGAGGGAGGAGGAGAGGATTGCTTACCATAACGCCGGGTTGAAGGAAGGGATGGCGGCGACGGAGGGGAATGCGGAGGAGGCGTTGATGATGAGTGAAACCCTCGGTTCTTACTCTTCTTGTGAGAGAACAGGTGGTGCAAGACAGAGGAAGACCGGGGTCGCGGCGGCGAAGAAGAAGATGCCCCCATGTAAAGCGATATATCGTCGTGGCTCCTCTTCGTCTTGCTACCTCTCTTTCTCTTCTTGTAGAATAAAGCGATGGCGGCGGCGATATCCTTGGCACCTCCTCCTCTCCTCTTCTTATTGTTCGTCTTCACCTCATGAGGCTGCGACGGCGGCGACGGAGAGGGTGGCCGACGTGTTGGATGTGGCGTGTGTGGCTTCTGTGCTCCCATGTTCCAATGTTGCTCCACCTTCCGATCTGGGAGATCCTCGACGGTCCTACTCCTCCTATGTCTTGTTCCAGGATTCGCGTCTCCCTCCACCTCCGTCTCCGGAAACTTCTCGAGGCTCCTCCCTCTGCCGTGTCGCCGCCGAGGCTGCGCCGTTGGCGGGGATGATGGCGATTGGGAATTCCGCGTTTCAAAGATCGCATCTTTTTCTACCGCATTCTGCGGAAGCTTTTCTAAGTTCCTCTTGGGCAGCCGCTGCGCCGTGGTCGGAGGAGTAGGCGGCGGCTGACTCGGCGGAGATCTCGATACTGGAGAACGGCTCTGCCGGATAACAAACGAAGCCACCGGAATGGCCTTGCCCGACGACCCCCCAAACCTCTGGCTTTCCCAGCTACCTGAATCCGACCTCCGACGATACAGATGGATGTCGTCGAAGCACTGCCACCCTTCAGCGACGGAGGCGCCGCCCCACGCGGCCTCCTGCCTCAGATCCGGGTAGGAGCTGCTGCTCCTCATCCTCCTCATCCTCGTAGAATGGCCCACCGCAGCGTGATCAAGGTAGCTGCTAAGCTGCGCCGAGTGATCGTTGTACCAGACGTCCTTCGGGGATGAAGCGGAGGGGGACTTGCCGGTGTCGTCGCCGGAGTTCCTGCGGCCGAGGACGCCGCAGAGGACGGCGAAAAGGACGAGGACGAAGTTGAGAGTGTCCCATCCGTTCCTGACGAACACCGCGCGAAAGCCACGAAAGGAAGCAGAGAAGAGGGAGGGGAGGCAGAACAGGATAAAGATGGCAAACAGTACTAGCAACCCCCGCGGCTGAATGCCAGAAGAAGAAGAGGAAGCCGAAGAATCATCTCTATCTTCCTCCATCGAAACTGGTAAAATCCTCTCGCTTCAAGCAAATCTTTGTGTTGGGGTTTCACGGCCACCTCTGCTGCAAGCGTCGGAGTGATGCATACAAAAGGGTTAGAGGAGGGGGAGGGGCTATGAAATCGATAATTGTGCCATGGAAGTCCGATTCAAACAGCGACGATCGGTGTCAGTCCCATCTTTTCCTTTGCCATCCAACAAAAAGAGATGAAGCAACGAAGAAGCATCGGCAGCAATGATGAGCGATTGGACCCCACAAGCAAACAGTAAACCTGTCAGTGTAACTGAAGACTGCTTGATTAGGAGGCAATCGTAAAAACACGGTGGAGTAGTTAAAATAATGATGCGTATTTATCCGTAGTATGGTTTTAATTACTGATGGAATCAGAAAGGGTGGATCGGCAACATTGACACACACATGGATGGGGTGCACACTCCGTAAATTATGGAACCTTTACATGAATGCTGCAGTCGGGCCCCACCGCGAGCGATATTTTTGGCAGACACGCGGTAGAAAGCGTGGGAAGTTTTTCTCTTTTTATTGGTACGCACATGAGAGAATCACTTTTAGGTAATACGCCTACACAGAATGAATGAAACCTTTCTATAGTTTATGAGTGGGGGAAGAGACGCAGGAGAAAGATCATAATTTAATATGTTATTTTTTAAAAATAAAATTAGATAAAAATTTAAGGATTAAAAAATTTTAGTTTAAAAAATTAAAATATATTTTTTTAAAAAAAAATTAATTTAATATTTTATTTTATTTAAAAAAATAAGATTAGATAAAGTTACAGCGATTATGGACTATTCTTGTATTTCACATCTATAAATAGATTATATTTATAATTATAGATTAATTCGAATCTCAAGTCAATACGGTTTAAAGTTAAAAAGTTATTTTTGTAAAAGGTTTAATAAATTTTTTTTATTTGATTTTAAACTAGTATTATCTTGTTATTATTATTTGAGAAAGGATTATACTTACATATGATTCTTTGTCACGGACGAGACGAGAGATAATACACGACTCTTAATCACAACTTGGCTCATTTGAGGAAAAAAAAAATTGATAAGAGTTCAGTTCTTTATGGGTGGAAAATTTCACATTACGATTATTTATCTATTCATCGGTGTCAACTTTTAAACTCGTGTACAGGGCCACATGACTGTTTGTTGAGAGACCAAAGTTTCAAGGTATTCAAATTTACATCGATCATCTCAGGAGAGTCGAGAAAAAATGATGATAAACACTAGCAATTGGTTGGTTTCATCATACAAACATCCAAGTTACAATGGAATAATTTTTTTTTCCTTATCAAACATATTTTCTCATCAAAATATCAATTTATTATTAAAAATAAATATTAATGAGATACCAAAGTTTTACGTGAAAAACTCAAAACAAGAATGAGTATTAGTAGTAAACAGAATATCGTCAATGAATTATCATCTCATTGTCCGTAACCTGAGTGTTAGTCGTAAACATAACATCGTCAGGTCAACGCCATGTCGGAAGTCTTAAGTAGCCCACCCACGAAGTTTCTTCTCTCTGGCTAGGATGCTGGCGATCAACAATAATCGCTTTAACCTTGGATCCGTGACGCCGGCTGAATTCCTACGTACTGTGCTGACCTCTCTTTTTGCGTATTTTATATTATTGTTCTTTGGTAAGAAAAAGAAAGAGAAGGGTTGCTTAGGCTGCTACGGACGAACTTATTCTGATGATCCCACTAATCCTGTCGCATGATATGACACATACTTAACCCCGAATGCCGCCGAGCCCTCTATTCGATGAGCACGAAATAGCCTGAAGGAAGGAATGGTGGTGAGGCAAGGCTGTGCGTTTGTCTCTGTATGCAGCTGGCGATGCCTGCACGGTGGATTGGTGGCCATTCAATGATAGTAATACGAATGACATCAGCATTGCTAACGTAATGACAGCCAATTTGAAACCCACTAAGTTGACTTTGACTAGCCAAACGACTCTCACACCCTTTCTTTATCCAACCACGTCGGAAGCATGACTCAACAGTTTATTTATTTCTCTCCTGTCAAATGTGGGGCCCACCCTTAAGATGTATGATAAGACGCGTATGATAGAGCGTGGAATGTCCGATTAGATTTGAAGTATTATTTAGGTCACCTTCAGCATTGGGATTCTAAATATTAAATATGAAGGGAGGTTCAATTGATTGGATAACGTGTGAGAAAGTGACTTTGAAACTTTAAAGATTATGATAACATTGAATCCGGGTAATAATGAGATCGATTTATCTTTAAATATAGATCAAAATGTTTAAACGAAAATTAATGTAATATTCTCATCAAGTCCATATAAGTCAATCATATTCATTGTCCATTTCTGATGTGGGACTAATGGGATGTTACAGTTGGTCTCATAGCTGCTCGTATGGGGACACTAGGGCTATAATGTAAGTGTTAATTGGAGAATGAGTTCATTAATTGATCCGCTCATAGAATGCTGGATGGTTAATGATATCTCATTGTCAGACAATGATTCTGTTGTCTCAATGATGTACTTGGTCCTTAGACTTGAGACACTAAGATGTCGTACTTTATTCTTTGATACCAAACTTATAGGCCTAGAAGTCCATATCTAGCATAGTCGACTATCGGGAGTGACAGCAAACCTTATGAGGACTATTGAGCATCGATAGAAGATCATCCACTCTCGGTGTTATGAGAAGAATATCTCATGTGTTCTTGCTCAGACAAATCCCTGTCTATGGTCATTCGGATCGAGAGAGAAATAGTTCTTCGGGAGACTTTGATTAGAGCGAGACTCGAGTAGAAACGGTATAAGCCTGACAGTACCATGCTCGGTATATAGTCTCTAGGGTATTAAATAAATGGACTATAGATATATGGTAATTGAGGACAGACAGGTCCAATGGATTAGATTCTCCTGTATCGTCTAGGGATTACGATGTAATGGCTTAGTACGTCTGTAGTCGATAAGTCAAGTAAATTATTATGAATATAATAATTCATTAAGCCAAATGGAGTTTTGATAGGTAAGACTCACGGCCAGCTCGATATTGGGCTTAGAGAGTTAACACACATATGGTAGACATTACGACGAGTAGAGGTTCAGGTATGATATATTCGTTGGAACCCCTACCTTATTGGATATCCAATAAGCTTTTGAATTATTGGATCCTATGGATGTGATCCAATAAGAGTCAATGAGAGATTATTAGATAGAAATCCACTAATCTAAGAGACTTGGGTGATTGGATAGAGATCCAATACCCAATAGGGCAGGATCCATTACGGTTAAGTTGACAAATGACCTCTATAAATAAGAGGGAACCAAATACTCATAGGTCAGAGGCTTCTTGGTTGCCACCTCCTATTCTCATCTCTCCTTCTTCTCCTTAGATAACAAGTGTGAAGATTTGGACAACGATTCGAGGAGCGTTGTTGCAACCTTGCTGTGTGGATTACTGCTAGAGAGGAGGACATTTGACCTCATTCATCCTCTCCTATAGATCTGTAGGGATTCAGGTATATACGATCTCTCTAGGTAAAATATAATATTTCATATACGTAATTTTCGGTTTTATAGATTTTACACATAAATCTTTGAATGATAATAAATATATTTTTGGAAAATTTAAAAATTTTATTTTTTATTCTTTCGTTGTATATGTGATGTTGTCTCTAGATTTCCCAACTGTATAAGGTCATAATTATAATTTTATAAATTCTTAATGGTTCAACGGATGATATGTGGAGCTTGCTAAGAGTGTCACGTATAAGGAAAGGCATATTATCACTATGAGATGCTAGTAATAAAATTTGAGTAGATTCTACGACCAAATTAATTTCGTATCACATCCAAAGTGGTTTAAAGTGCTCCTTTCGACTCCCATCAATAACAACATGATCAAAATAGCCTAAAGTATTTATTTCAATGATAACATAATTGGAGTCTTAAAAACAACCCAAAGTACTTATTTGAATGATAATGTGATCAAATCAGCCTAATATTTATCAGACAAGGGTCTTAAAACCTTCTAGCACAATATTTGAGAAAGGAACGCAATTGAACTCGACATTAGAAGACCGTGTCGTGCATTCCGTAGCACTTTGAGATTCTCAAATTCCAATGCATTTAATGCTCAAAGACTCGACATTTTAACCAACACTGACTTGAGGGATTTTATCAAGTATGTTTCAATATAATTTTTATATTTTCGTAAAATTTTGACACATTTTGAGTCGCACGGGTTTGATACTCGTCGACATCAAACCGAGACAAATAAATAGAATCTCCATTACTCCGAATCAGCGTCCCAATCAAACAACCACTATCTATTTAAACACCACAACATTGTCGGAACAAACTTGCACTGCCGCCGACACCTCCTTGCAGCGTCTCGTTAGCCGCCAACCGAGGGAGTTCTCTTCTTCCACAAAATAAATAGATAGTTTAACCCACACAATTCGCCATCTTCCTTTTGCTATCCTACAAGTCAAAAAGTAATATAGATCAAGTTGTGTTCGGATATCCTACAAGTCAAAAGTGCCAAAACATCTTCTGTATCACAGGTACTGCCAAGGAGTTCAATTTCCCACTTCGCTCTCCCAATAAACGACCCAAGCAATGTCATCTAAATTTCACCTTGTCAAGTTTGAAATGCTGCAGAATAGCTGACCTATAGCAGATATACAATCACAAAGTTCACCAAACACAGCAGTTACCTAGCTAATTTTGTTTTCGGATGAACTACCATGAATCTGAGAAGCCCAACAGTGATGATCACCTCTCTGCAAGGTGAAACCACAACAATCAAACAGATTAGTACTTTCCTCGGATATCATCAGCATAGCAGACCTCTACTTAGATGGAATCTATAGATCTCATTCGAGAAAACTCTTTACAAGAGATGAAGACAACGTCAAGCGGAACGAAGCGCAAGAAGACATCGCACAGCCTCCAAAACTTGGAGGTAGAATCGAAAAGCTTATATCCACCAGCTGAACGCATCCGCACCAAGGCAGCATAAAGCAGCCACATGGAGGGCTACATTGGCTCGATTGCAATGTCAACCGCATGGCCTGGCTTAACAAAATAAAATTACAAGATTCTAGAGACCTGCATTAACACATAAGCCCTATAAAGATTCTATAGTGTATGTAGAGTACAGCCCCTGTAGCCCACAAAACAAAAACCAAATGGGCCAAGCAATGTACTTAAGGCCATCGAATTACCAAGTTTGAAATGCTATAATTCTCTAGTAAGTTACTAACCAGATGAATAA